AATGATGGGGTACTATTCCTCCCACTGAAACCAATGATGGGGCACTATTCCTCCCACTGACACCAATGATGGGACACTATTCCTCCCACTGACACCAATGATGGGGCACTATTCCTCCCACTGACACCAATGATGGGGCACTATTCCTCCCACTGACACCAATGATGGGGCACTATTCCTCCCACTGACACCAATGATGGGGGCACTATTCCTCCCCCTGACACCAATGATGGGGCACTATTCCCCCCACTGACACCAATGATGGGGCACTATTCCTCCCACTGACACCAATGATGGGGTACTATTCCTACCACTGACACCAATGATGGGGCACTATTCCCCCCCACTGACACCAATGATGGGGCACTATTCCCCCCACTGACACCAATGATGGGACACTGTTCCTCCCACTGATACCAATGATGGGGCACTATTCCTCCCCCTGACATCAATGATGGGGCACTATTCCTCCCACTGATACCAATGATGGGGCACTATTCCTCCCACTGATACCAATGATGGGGCACTATTCCTCCTCCCAGTGACACCAATGATGGGGCACTATTCCTCCCACTGACACCAATGATGGGGCACTATTCCTCTCACTGACACCAATGATGGGGCACTATTCCTCCCACTGATACCAATGATGGGGCACTATTCCTCCCACTGATACCAATGATGGGGCACTATTCCTCCCACTGAATCAATGATGGGGCACTATTCCTCCCACTGACACCAATGATGGGGCACTATTCCTCCCACTGACACCAATGATGGGGCACTATTCCTCCCACTGACACCAATTATAGAGCACTATTTCTCCCACTAACACCAATGATAGGGCCCTATTTTGCCAACTGAAACCGATGATGGGGCACTATTCCTCTGATTGACATCAATGATAGGGCACGATTCCTCCCACTGACACCATCAATGGGGCAGCATTCCTCCAACTGACAATAATGATGGTGCACAATACTTCCCATTGACACCATTAATGGGGAACCATTCCTCCACTGATACAAATTATTAGGCATTTTCTACTTCCAACTGGCCACAGTCTCGCCCCCTAAAGCCTGAAGGACAGCAAACTGGCCCTTTGTTTGGAAACGTTTGGAGACCCGTGTTCTAGGAGAAAACAGGCAGGAACTAGATGGGACTGGGAGCAGATACATTGTTACCTTCATATAAGTCTTTGCCTTCAAGGAGCTTACAATCCAAGGTTCCTGCACACATATAAGTACCAACGTAGACAGGAGCCCATTAACCTAGCGGCATGTCTGTGGAGTGTAGGAGGAAACCCACGCAGGCACAGGGAGAACATGCAAACTCCATTCAGACGCTGTCCTAGCTGGGATTTCAACCAATGGTCTGGTACTTTCTTTATAGAGACTACGAGATGGTCTGGTGGCGTATCCATGGCCGGACTCTGTGGAACGGTTGTAGGCAACTTAGGTGTCCATTTATGAAACGAAGAAAAAAGATCCTGAAATTATGTGAAATCATTAGCGGTTATTATGGTTTAACCAGAATCATTTGTGTTTTTCCTTTTCATGTAAAATGACAATTATTGTTCCGTTTATGAAAATGATCAAATCTCCAGTAGTAACCATGAAAGCATTGGTGTACGTGTATGGGCAATTGGAAGCCAGTGGAGGGGTTGGCAGAGGGGGGTGGTGGATACGGAACGATTGGTAAGGTGGATGAGTCTGGCTGCAGAATTCAAGATAGACTGAAGCGGGGATAGTCTGCGGTGAGGTAAGCTGATGAGGAGGGAGTTACAGTAGTTGAGGTGTGATATAATGAGGGAGTGAATGAGTTGCTTTGTAGTTTCTGGAGTTAGGAACGGACGTATCTTGGAGATGTTGTGGAGGTGAAGTCTACATGAGTTTGTCAGCGAATGGACTGGGGGCTGGAAGAACAGATTGGAGTCTAGGATGACACCATGTACTCTGCCTTGAGGGGAGGGACTGCTGATGGCGTTGTTGGTCTTGATGGAGAAGTCAGGGGGAGGGGCGCGGGCTGGGGGGAAAACTAGGAGCTCAGTTTTGGACAGATTTAGTTTGAGGAAGTGGAGCGACATCCAGTCCGATATGTTGCTCAGTAGGCTTGTGATAGGGGCGGAGACTGAAGTGGTGAGGGGCTGTCCTAATACATGGCCCCCCGGGGCACTGCCCATGATAATCTAGCATTACCCCGTACTTGCCAACTGTCCTGGATTTGCCGGGACAGTCACGCTTTTTACTGAGCTATCCCGCATCTCAGAACCTGTACTGCGCCCTTCTGCCAACCCCCCCCACCCCCGTACTTTGCCCTTTGTTTTGCGTAGTCTTAGATTTACAGAGTGTTTTCTTATTGTTTAACATCAGTCTTTCGGAAAGTGCTAATAAATTATAAATGTTTCATTCTATCAACTGTTTATAATTTAATTCTTGAGAGTAGGTGCGTCAATTGGGGCGGGCTGGTAGGGGCCCCAGTGCATTGCTTTGCCCAGGGGCCCATGATGCTATAAAGACGGCCCTTGCGTGAGATAATCTCCAGCTGTGACCATACGGTGACGATGACAGAGGGAGTAATGGACGTCATTTGTACAATAGCAGACATTGAACCACACACGGGTCTTCCTACACTACAATCATCCCAATCACAAGACCAAAGTCACATGAAGAAGGAAGAATACGTCGTGTCTTCTCTAAGGACTTTATCCAAATCCTTCACAGCACATAGATTGTGTTTTTATTCAATAAAATATATAGATTTACACTTTTCTAACCAATAGATTCTAATGATAACAAAGAAAAGATTTTAAGAACATCACCGGCATAGATGACACATGGAACATAACATAGCAGGTGATCCCACTTGGGGCCCATCGACCATTATACCACGAAAGTGCGCCAAGACCACCATGTAGACTGTCAGCAGAAACAAACAGAACAATACAATACAATAATAAACCCAAGAAAGGGGGCAGTAATGAAAGTGGAACCAAACATTGTCCATTAACATGAACCCCTCCCCCTCCATAGGATCCCCCCCTCCAGAGGAATCCCCCCTTCCCCTTCCCCTTCCACAGGATCCCCCCCCCCCCCCTTCCTGGCCAGGCCATTTTTTTGCGTTACGACGCTGTGTTACTTTAACTGACAATTGCGCGGTCATGCAACACCGCACGCAAGTGAAATTTACGTCCTTTTTTTCCCCTCCCACAAATTAAGCTTTCTTTCGGTGGTATTTGATCGCCTGTGCGGTTTTTATTTTTTGCGCTATAAAACAAAAATTTTTTAAAAAAAACCTATATTTTTTTACTTTTTGATATTAAACGCGTCCATTAAAAGAAATTTAAAAATCAAATTTCGTCATAAAATTAGGCCAAAATGTCTCCTGCTCCGTGTCTTCGTTAAAAAAATAATCCCAATCCGTGTAAATTAATCGCTTTACATGAACGTTATCGCGTTTACAAATGGCGGTATACATACGGGGATTTTTCTTTTACTAGTAATGGCGGCGATCAGCGACTTATAGCGGGACTGCGGTGGACATTCTGACATTGCGGAGGAACTGGCTTGGTGTCACTGACATCCCCAGAGACCATCATTTTCTAACGATCCCTGCAAAAGATGAAGTGTAGGCTTTCAGTTGTCTATGATTCTTGATGGAACCAAGTCCAGGAACAAATGATATGAGTGGCCCTGAAAGCTGAGCTGTAAAATGGTCTCTTTGGTACAGTTAAAAGTTAACTTTCTGATAATGTCCCATTGGGGGCCATCTGGCTTCTCGATTGGGATAGACGGCCAGAGATCCTGAAAGAGAGCTGTTGCTGTGGAGGTTAGATCCACTATAGATTGAGGAAGATCACAGGGAGCAAGTTACCCCGCGGGGGGCAGTTTTCAAAGTCCTTCAAGGACAGTAAGGCACGAGACAGTTCTCCTTTAAGATCTTCCTGATCTTGTTCATGGCCTCCATCACTGTAGCTGTGATGTCCATCCTGTCCTCCAGGGCACTGGTGCAGCTCCCTAGATCCATTATTTCTGTCGTCACGTGGGTTGCAAGTGTAGATGTTGCCTTCGAGAGTTCCTGCTGGATCATGGTTTTGAACCTGGCCAGGAGCTCTACATTACAGAGGGGTTGCTCCTGCTTTCCAGTCCGCAGCACTTTCCGTATCTGACGCCAGGTCTTAGTCCCCTATGAAGATCGACTGGGAGAGGTCCATAAATGATCCCGATGCTTCAGGCGCGTGGTCAGGAAGGTAGGCCCCGCTTTGTGCTGTGCTTGTGTGTCAGGTGCTGGAGCCACAGACAGTTGGCTTTTTTGTCCATGCTGCAGGGTTCTAAGGCCAGTAGGTGAAGGCAGGAAAGGCCTCTCCTTTAGGCTTTGATGTGGTTAATGTGTCTGGGGGTTGAGGAGCGATGGGTTCAAGCAGCCATCTTCTTCTGTTGCTCATGAGCGCCCCCAGAAATTTTTTTGTTTCTGCAGATGACTTCAGCCCATGTTATCTGTAAAACTAATTGAATAATGAAGAACATGTCAGCCATAAGAGAGAAGATTGTTTGTTTATTTAAAATAGACATTCATACTCACCTCTGTGTTGCAGCATCTGCATGATGCTGCAGCTGCTCCCCGCCGTCTCTAAGACCAAGAACTGAGCAATTATGTTGGAACAGGAAGGGGCCACCCCCAAACTCTTCCCACAAAGTTGGGAGCATGAAATTGTCCAAAATGTCACCTTAAGAGTTCCCTTCACTGGAACTAGGGGGCCAAGTCCAACCCCTGAGAAACACCCCCACACCATAATCCCCAAACTTTACACTTGGCACAATGCAGTCAGGCAAGTACCATTCTCCTAGCAACCGCCAAACCCAGACACGTCCATCGGATTGCCAGACAGAGAAGCGTGATTGGTCACTCCAGAGAACACACCTCCACTGCTCTAGAGTCCAGTGTCGGCGTGCTTTACACCACGGCATCCAACGCTTTGCATTGCACCTGGTGATGGAAGGCTTGGATGCAGCTGCTCAGCCATGGAAACCCATTCCATGAAGCTCTCTACACACTGTTGTTGGGCTCATCTGAAGGCCACACCAAGTTTGGAGGTCTTTAGCTATTGACTCTGCAGACAGTTGGCGACTTCTGCGCACTGTGCGCTTCAGCATGCGCTGACCCCGCCCTGTCATGTGACGTGGCCTACCACTTGGTGGCTGAGTGGCTGTTGTTCCCAGTGGCTTCCACTTTGTTATAATCCCACTAACAGTGGAGCGTGGAATATTTAGTAGCCAGGAAATGTCACGGATGGACTTATTGCCCAGGTGGCCACCTATCACGGGACCACGCTTGGAGTCACTGAGCTCCTGAGAGCGACCCATTCTTTCACCAATGTTTGTAGAAGCCGTCTGCATGCCTAGGGGCTTGATTGTATACACCTGTGTCCATGGAGGGGATTGGAACACCTGAATCACATGATATGGAGGGGATTGGAACACCTGAATCACATGATTGGAAGGGGATTGGAACACCTGAATCACATGATATGGAGGGGATTGGAACACCTGAATCCAATTATTTGGACGGCTGGCCCAATACTTTTGGCAATCTAGTGTTTTTCAGGCCATAGATGGGGAGAAAACTGGCTGATTTTTCTTTAAAAAAATGAAAAATCGGTCGTTCAATCAGCCAACGTTACCAGGAACGGTAAAAAAAAATCGTCCGATTTTCATCCTGTCTACAGCCGGCACAAAGTGTCTCTGCAGAGAGCTCCGCTATTTCTTTGACAGTTCCTTGACATTTATAGCGATTGCAACAATGTATCTATTTGTATCCATTTAGGATACAGATGTTTTTATTCGGAAACAAATAGATAAATTGTTGCAGCCGCTATAAATGTCAAGGAACTGTCAAAGAAATAGCGGAGCTCTCTGCAGGGACACTTTGTGCCGGACTGGAATTCTTCTTCTTCATCCTCTTCTCCTTCTTCATCCTCTTCTTCATCCTCTTCTACTTCATCATCCTCTTCTACTTCTTCATCCTCTTCTTCTTCTTCATCCTCTTCTTCTTCTTCATCCTCTTCTTCTTCTTCATCCTCTTCTTCTTTTTGTCTTCCTCTTGCAGGTCACTTCTCATGCGCAGATTTTTTATCGGTAAAAAGATCGGCCGATTTGCCCATCATTGCCGCGAAAATCATCCGATCGGCAAAATCGGACGATTTTTTTTCAAACTTTACCGACAAAAAAAATCTGCCAAAATACCGAAAAACGGCCGACCTATTAACCCACTAATGATCCGAAAATCAACTGATTTTATTTTCGACCGAAAGATCGTCCGATTTTCGACCCATCTATGGCCTGCATATGTCTATCTCACAGGGAGCCCCGGGTGTCATACAAACGATCAGGACCAGGGACTCCCGGTTATGGGTCACCTGATCGCTGTGATAGCCTCTCTCTCTATTGTTGCAACCATCAGGAGTGGGGGAATTATTTTGGGTTGTTCTTTGGTGGTAAGTTATGGTAGTAGCAAGAAATATACAGCTACATTTTTTAAAATTATTATTTTTTTACTATTTTGGGCCAGTTTTCTTTTGACAATATAAACAAACTCAGAAGATATCCATTATCATTCACCACCAAATGAAAGCCCAATTTGCCCTGAAATAAATGTGGTATAATCCGTCTGGATGCAGGAAGTAGTTGTGATAATATGGACGGTTTTACTAACACGGGTCAAAGTTGTAAAATTGTGCTTAGGCGTTAAAGTGGTTGTAAAGGCTCAAGGTACAAAACCTTCTGTGTGCAGTATCCCCCCCCAGCCCCCCTAATACTCACCTAAGCCCCCTCTCATTCCAGCAATGTGCACTGCAGTCTCGCTATCCCAGGACTCCCTCTCCTCATTGGCAGAAACAGCAGCTGGAGGAATTGGCTCCCACTGCTTACAATCACAACCAATGAGCCAATGAGAAGAAATAGGGGGGCGGCGGCTGAGCCGTGGCTTTGTGTGTGAATGGACACACATAGCAGCGGGTGCTTCCATGGCAAGCTGCTCGCTGTGGGGGCACCCGACAGGAGGGAGGGGCCAGGGGCGCCATTGGGGGACCTGACGAGAGGAAGATCCAGGCTGCTCTGTGCTAAACCACTACACTCAGCAGGTAAGAATAGATATTTTTAGGTCTTTGGAATCACTTTAACCTTTGTATTACCCTTAGGCATGAAGGGGGTAATTGAAAAAGATGAAAATAGAAGCTGATTGGCTACCATGCACAGCGTCACCAGATTCTGAGTGCTCCAGTTTTAGTAAATCCACCCCTACTTTATTTTTTGAGAACAAGGAGAAGGGGAGAGTTTTCAGTAACCAGGTGACTGCACTGGACTTCAACAAAATGGCAGCCTCCAGCAAGAAGAAACAGGAGCATTGATAAAAAAACATTAATTCTTATCAAAATCTTATGGGTAAAGTTCCACTTTGATTTTTTTAATTATTTTATTAAAAAATATAATAAGGAATCATGTTAAAAATTTGACTTACATATAAAACGATGGGAGTCCACTTGAAGAGGATCGGGTCAGAACGATGAGGCTAATCAGTCGTCCCACTTAGATTCTAAAAAGCATAAAATCCATTTATGTTTAAAACATTTTGTACATTACAATAACAGCTGCACTATATTGCCAAAAGTATTGTCCCTCCAAATCATGTGATTCAGGTGTTCCAATCCCCTCCATATCATGTGATTCAGGTGTTCCCATCCCCTCCATATCATGTGATTCAGGTGTTCCAATCCCCTCCATATCATGTGATTCAGGTGTTCCAATCCCCTCCATATCATGTGATTCAGGTGTTCCAATCCCCTCCATATCATGTGATTCAGGTGTTCCAATCCCCTCCATGGACACAGGTGTATACAATCAAGCCCCTCGGCATGCAGACGGCTTCTACAAACATTGGTGAAAGAATGGGTCGCTCTCAGGAGATCAGTGACTCCAAGCGTGGTCCCGTGATAGGTGGCCACCCGGGCAATAAGTCCATCCGTGACATTTCCAGGCTACTAAATATTCCACGCTCAACTGTTAGTGGGATTATAACAAAGTGGAAGCCACTGGGAACAACAGCCACTCAGCCACCAAGTGGTAGGCCACGTCACATGACAGGGCGGGGTCAGCGCATGCTGAAGCGCACAGTGCGCAGATGTCGCCAACTGTCTGCAGAGTCAATAGCTAAAGACCTCCAAACTTGGTGTGGCCTTCAGATGAGCCCAACAACAGTGTGTAGAGAGCTTCATGGAATGGGTTTCCATGGCCGAGCAGCTGCATCCAAGCCTTCCATCACCAAGTGCAATGCAAAGCGTCGGATGCTGTGGTGTAAAGCACGCCGCCACTGGACTCTAGAGCAGTGGAGACGTATTCTCTGGAGTGACCAATCACGCTTTTCTGTCTGGCAATCCGATGGACGTGTCTGGGTTTGGTGGTTGCCAGGAGAACAATATTTGCCTGACAACATTGTGCCAAGTGTAAAGTTTGATGGAGGGGGGATTATGGTGTGGGCTTGTTTTTCAGGGGTTGGGCTTGGCCCCCTAGTTCCAGTGAATGGAACTCTTAAGGCGACATTTTGGACAATTTCATGCTCCCAACTTTGTGGGAAGAGTTTGGGGATGGCCCCTTCCTGTTCCAACATGACTGCCCCCCAGTGCACAAAGCAAGGTCCATAAAGACATGGAGGAGCCAGTTTGGGGTGGAGGAACTTGACTGGCCTGCACAGAGTCCTGACCTCAACCCCATAGAACACCTTTGGGATGAATGAGAGCGGAGACTGCGAGCCAGACCTCCTCCCCCGACATCAGTGCCTGACCTGACAAATGTGCTTCTGGAAGAATGGTCCAACCTTCCCATAGACACCCTCCTAAACCTTGTGGACGGCCTTCCCAGAAGAGTTGAAGCTGTTATAGCTGCAAAGGGCGGGGCCAACTCCATATTGAGCCCTGCGGACTAAGACTGGGGGGCCATTAAAGGTCATGTGTATGGAAAGGGCGGGGCCAACTCAATATTGAACCCTACGGACTAAGACTGGGGGGCCATTAAAGGTCATGTGCGTGGAAAGGGCGGGCCAACTCAATATTGAACCCTACGGACTAAGACTGGGGGGCCATTAAAGGTCATGTGTATGGGAAGGGTGGGGCCAACTCAATATTGAACCCTACGGACTAAGACTGGGGGGCCATTAAAGGTCATGTGCGTGGAAAGGGCGGGGCCAACTCAATATTGAACCATACGGACTAAGACTGGGGGGCCATTAAAGGTCATGTGCGTGGAAAGGGCAGGTCCAACTCAATATTGAACCCTACGGACTAAGACTGGGGGGGCCATTAAAGGTCATGTGCATGGAAAGGGCGGGGCCAACTCAATATTGAACCCTACGGACTAAGACTGGGGGGCCATTAAAGGTCATGTGCATGGAAAGGGTGGCGGCCCAATATTTACCTGAATAAGTTCCTGACGGACCCGATTGCCAGGATCTGATGAATCCTCAGAGGCGGCCGGGAGTGCCGGGATTTCTGGTGGCAGATCATGGCGGATGTGCAAGTCTACATGGTTTACAAGAGCGACATTGTGTAGAATTGCACAGACAATGATGATATCGGACACCAGCTCCGGAGTGTGCTGTAAGAAGCCGCCAGTTTTCGACAGACACCGGAAGGTGGACTTCCACACTCCCAACGTCTTCTCCATCACTGCATGGCTACGGCGATGTGCGCTGTTATATCCCACCTCGGCCTCAGTCTGTGGATTCAACAGAGGGGTCATCAACCACGGCCGGCATCCATATCCTGCGTCTCCTGGAATTACAGAGGAAACATCAGAAGTCATTTGTATTCATTGATTAGTTCGTCCTCAAGTAGATACATTGTGAAAAGGCGTCTCCATTCATTATTAAGGGCTGATCTTCTGGATTATGATTACAATTAGGAATGCACCGACACCCATACGGAGTATTTCAGGAGTACTCAAACTAGTGGAAATACTCTCGATACCTTCACCAATATTGTGATTTTTGTCAATACAAATTGCACCCCAAAGATTAGCAGCGATTCCTGTCCAAATTGCATGGTTTCCTCACTGCTCCCTGTGTGAGCCCAAGCTTGTCATAGTCCGAGTTCACACAGGAGCGGTGCGGGAAACTTCCCATGCTGAGTCTCGGTTGTAGGAGGAGAGACGGCAGTTTCTTTACTCTCCTTGCAGGGATGACAGTTTGGGCTAGAGGGCTGTTGATTGGTCAGCACCGTCACATGGACAGTGTTGACCAATCAGACAGTGTTTAGCCCGAACTGTCATCGCTGCCAGGAGAGGAGAGAAAGCCGCAGAGATTTCAAATCCCCAGACCTGTGAAGAGGCTTTCTCTCCTCTCCTCACAGGGATGACAGTTCAGGCTAGACGGAATCTGATTGGTCAGCACTGTCCATGTGAGGATGCTGACCAATCAACAGCCCTCTAGCCCGAACTGTCATCCCTGCAAGGTGAAGAAAGAAAGCGGCAGGGATTTCAAATCCCCACCACCTTCTCTCCTCTCCTACCACTGAGAATATGGACCATCTGCCTCCATAGTACACCTCCCCACTCGCCTACTCTCCTCTGCTGGAAACCTCCCTGCACCGCTCCTGTGTGAACTCTATGATCAGCCCGGATTCACACAGGAGCAGTGGGGAATCCGCATGCCATATGGACAAGAATCGCATTCCTGACCAAATCACATGCTATTCTTTGCGGTGCAATTAGCGTCCATTAACGCAAATCGCACCGCAAAGTATCAGTAATCAGTATCGGCGAGTATTTGACTGACGGTATCGGTACTCGTACTCGCCGATAAAAAAACGGTATCGGTGCGTCCTTCATTAAAACCATTTGAATTCTGTTTTATTACATTTACACACTTCCGGCAATTATTTTTAGTTCATCAGCTGACTTTTATTCTTGCTCTAATTGGTCAGCAAGAAGCATCGCACAGTAAGGCTCCATTCACACTTGGTGTTTCCGGAACGCACAACAAAGCGCACAGAAAATGCGCACCTTGCCTCAAGTTTCAGGAAACATCGGGCGTGCAGTGCCAGTCATTGTTAATGGTGCACCAAGCATAGGGAACCGGCACTCATTTACCGCACTGCAAATGTGACAAAACGCACAACGAAAAAAAACACGCCATGCTCCGCGGATTTCTCTCACATGACAAAACACGCAGCAAACGTGCTCCTGCTACCTGTGCTTGGGGTCCCATTAACAATGAATGGCACTGCAAGTGTAGTCCAATAGGACAGCATTCTGCGTGATGGAAGCCATTTACCTCCGCCATATTGTTCCCAACTCCTTGCCAGAAGCCTCCCGTGACATCCGCGGCCATTAGCTTTTATATTCAAAAGGAAGGAATGTCCTAACAAATAATACAGTTTCTGCACTTTACCGATGTCCTTCAGAAGATGTCAGTGACAAATCATATCACAGACATACTATCCGGGGGTCAGTTAGCATTTCTTTGCCAATCACATACAGTGGATGGACCGTAGCAGTCATGTGAAAGCAGCACACAGCACATCGCCCGTAAGCCATCTTCTCTTAGTGTCTCCTTTTTCCTCCCAGGGTCATTAATACTCACTCAGAGGGCTCTGACTTGCAACTTGGCTCTATGCATGCAACCCGCGACTCCCTGGTGTCACACCAGACATAGGACTCCTGCAGCTGCTCCTCTAGTTTCTGGACACTTCTCCCAGGATCTCCAGGGGCATAGCACACATGACAGAGGGCACTATGGGGTTGATTTACTAAAACTGGAGAGTGCAAAATCTGGTGCAACTCTACATATAAACCAATCAGCTTCTAACGTCAGCTTGTTCAATGAAGCTTTGACCAGAAAACCTGGAAGCTGATTGGTTCCTATGCAGAGCTGCACCAGAATTTGCACTCTCCAGTTGTAGTAAATCAACCCCTTAGCCTGGCCAAAAGAAAGCATTTAGTAGCCCGCTCCTAGCTTCCACCAACCGTAACAAGACAACCAAGTCTTCTGGGTGAAGGACTATCGCACCGTCCTCCAGCCTTGTCCAGGGCCTCTGCATTGACTGACTATATCTGCATAGCTGTGGGATGTTTGCCTCCCATACCCCATTTACACTAGGCTCCTCCCATCCTGGTGTATAAATGGGCACTAACTCCACCCATTACATCACTACCGGAAGGCTTTGCCTAAAAAGGGACCCAACACCCAATCACACCCACACAAACATGATATATTTATATGTTGTATATGTAGAGAGGTGGTGATAGAAAAGACAATAGAGGGAAACATCCGTGATATGCTGAGGAATCTGGGAATATGTCCCCTGCTTCCCTGTCACTGCTTGGCAGCACCTGTACATGTTAGAACAGATTATATGTATATATATATATATATATATATATATATACAGTATATAGGCACATTTTGTTGTTGGCTCCCTCTGTAGTCAAGGGGCAGTGATTGTTTGCTCCGGTCTGTTCAGAGTTTCAGGCTGAGAGTTTGATTGTTTCCCACTAACTATGGAAGAACCTTCCAGAACACAGGGAGGGAGATTCCAATGACCGGCCTAATTAGTGATCATGGCCTGGCCAATCCCTGGAGAGGATTGTGCAGAAGGTGGCTGGGGAGTTGATAAATATTCTGAAGACCTGGAGAGTGTTCTCTCACCTCCGGAGTGTTCCAAGCCTTGGGGGAGGGGGGGATGCTGCTCCTTTACGGTAGCCTGTGAACTGTGTGGCTGTTCTTGAGGCCTTAGCGATATCAGGACTGAGGACCTGGACTGATCTTCCTGCGGATCCAGCAGTGGGACTTCACCATAAGGGATCTGGTCTGGAGAAGGATTGTCTGCCCCACTGGACCATGTCCAGATAAAGCTGGAAAGTGGTTGAGCCTCTGGAAGAGCCTTCCTTCCAGAACACAGGGAGGGAGATTCCAATGACCAGCCTAATTAGTTATCACGGCCTGGTCAATCCCTGTAGATGAGTGTCTGGAAGGTGGCTGGGGAGTTGATAAATATGTTGATGTCCTGGAATGAGTGTTCTCTCACCCCCAGAGGATTCCAAGCTTTGGGGGGGGGGGGGGTGCTGCTCCTCTGAGGTAGCCTATGGACTGTGTGGCTGTTCATGAAGCCTTAGCAGTGTCGGGGCTGAGGACCTGAAGTATTCTTCC